TTTAAGTAATTACTGTTTGATTGTGCTTGAAGAAACACACACACTATATATGTATACATAGAAGTCTGAAAGGAACTAGCACATAAGTTAGAGCAGACATTACCTTTCTGGAGTAATTTGCAATAAATTGCAGGAAGCTGCATATTGAATTTGCTTCTTAATGCAAATGATGAAGCTGGAGGACCAGAGAAGCTGAAGGAAGATGGCCTTTACCACTCATGTCTCAGACCTTCTCCCTCTCTCTTATGCTTGATATTCTCCTCACAGGTTTTTTTTTTAAATTTGCTTGCCGAGATGGTAACTTCTAAGGATGGTAAAACAGTGTTGGAAAGTAGAGTAAGAACTGTTCTTTTTAGGAAGATAAGAAGATTCAAAGCTCTGATCATTCCAGTGTCCTATGGGAGTAAGGGGTAACTCACAAAGGTTAACTTTAATCATAGCATCATAGAATCATTTAGGTTGGAAAAGACCCTTAAGATCATCGAGTCCAACCGTAAACCTAACACTGCCAAGTCTACCACTAAACCATGTCCCTAAGCACCACATCTACACATCTTTTAAATACCTCCAGGGGTGGTATCTCAACCACTTCCCTGGGCAGCCTGTTCCAGTGCTTGATAACCCTGTCAGTGAAGAAAATTTTCCTAATATCCAATCTAAACCTTCCCTGCCGCAACCTGAGGCCGTTTCCTCTTGCCCTATCGCTTGCTACTTAGGAAAAGAGACCGACCCCCATCTCGCTACAACCTCCTTTCAGGTAGTTTTAGAGAGCAATAAGGTCTCCCATCAGCCTCCTCTTCTCTTCTCCAGACAACCCCAGCTCCCTCAGCTGCTCCTCATAGGACTTGTTTTCTGGGCCCTTCACCAGCTTCGTTGCTCTGCTCTGGACGTGCTCCAGCACCTCAATGTCTTTCTTGTAGTGAGGGGCCCAAAACTGAACATAGTATTTGAGGTGCGGCCTCACCAATGCTGAGAACAGGGAGATAATCACTTCCCTAGTCCTGCTGGCCACACTGTTTCTGATCCAAGCCAGGATCAGAACCTAACTGAACCTCATTGAACCTCATACAATTGGCCTTGGCCTATCGATCCAGCCTGTCCAGATGCCTCTGAAGAGCCTTCCTACCCTCTAGCGGATCAAAACTCATACTAAAGCTAATCTTAGCATCTCTGTATGTCAGTAGGGAGAGACAAACTCCCCTAGGAAGCAATCCAGATAATTAACCATAATGTAACCACCCTGAATCATCCTCTGGATGGTCGTTTCTTTCACCATCCTTTATAGTTTATAAAGGGAATTTAGGGAGGCTAGCTTCATTCAGCTGCAGAGAGACTTTCAGAATATTCTTTCTTCTTTCTGTCTTTCAAAAAATGAACTGTTTGTTTAATAACTTAATTGAATAAGATTTATGCCCTGAAGTAGAAGAAAAGTATCTTGGTCAGCATCACACATGGAAGTTCAGAGGCATGTGGTAAATAAAACTCCTAGTAGTATAGTGAGATGCATTATGGTAAAGGATGACCTTATTACTAGTTTAGATCTAGGAAAAAAATCTAAAACTTCATGAACTTCATCCACAGGCATGTGAGTTGATGATCACAACAGAAAGATGATAATAAAGAATTTTCACTTTTTGAGATGTAAAGAAGGGCTTGTGAAAAATTAAATGTCCCCTTCTCTCCCCTGTCCCTTCAGCTATGGTAGTTTACTTAATAAAAGATATTATCTCTACCTTCAAATCTGTTTCTCCCCCTCCAGAAGCCATGGATGATTTCCCAATGGCTTAATGGAAAGGAGTACCAAATATGAACTAAGGGGTTCCTTGCATC